ACTCATCCACTCACTCATTCACTCTCTCATCCACTCACTCACTCATCCACTCACTCATTCACTCTCACTTACTCACTCACTCTCTCATCCATCCACTCACTCACTCACTCACTCACTCACTCACTCACTCTCTCATCCACTCACTCATTTACTCACTCACTCACTCACTCACTCACTCACTCATTCATCCACTCACTCACTCACTCACTCTCTCATCCACTCACTCATTCACTCACTCACTCACTCACTCACTCACTCACTCATTCATCCACTCACTCACTCTCTCATCCACTCACTCATCCACTCACTTATTCACTCACTCACTCATTCATCCACTCACTCACTCACTCTCTCATGCACTTACTCACTCACTCACTCACTCATCCACTCACTCACTCTCTCATCCACTCACTCATTCACTCACTCATCCACTCATCCACTCACTCATTCACTCTCACTTACTCACTCACTCACTCTCTCATCCACTCACTCTCTCATCCATCCATCCATCCACTCACTCACTCATCCACTCACTCACTGAATCACTCACTCACTCATTCTCTCATCCACTCGCTTACTCTCTCATCCATGCCCTCACTCACACACTCACTTATTCACTCACTCTCTCTCACTACCTCACTCACTCACTCTCTCATCCACTCAATCACTCACTCACTCTCTCTCTCTCTCTCTCATCCACTCACTCACTGAATCACTCACTCATTCTCTCATCCACTCACTCACTCCCTCATTTACTCACTCACTCATCCACTCACTCACTGAATCCCTCACTCCCTCACTGTCTCATCCACTCACTCTCTCTCTCATCCACTCACTCACTCACTCACTCCCTCATCCACTCACTCACTGAGTCCCTCACTCCCTCACTGTCTCATCCACTCACTCACTGAATCACTCACTCACTCATTCTCTCATCCACTCACTCTCTCATCCACTCACTCTCTCTCTCATCCACTCACTCACTCAGTCACTCAGTCAGTCATTCGGTCAGGAGCAGGACAGGGTGGGTTCGGGGAAAGTACTGAAGTTAAGCTCAAACAAATCATTGATGTTTTTTAATTGATGTTGATCACCAATCCTCAACATGTTGGAGCTGACACGCAACACACCAGACGGTAATCTTTAAGCATGCAGATGCTAAACAGACACAGTTTATTTTATAGGAAGGAATACTTCAGCCAGAACTGCCGTTTTGACGGCCACCATAAAAAAACACATATTAAACAACATTTAAATGCAGATCTCTATCACCAAACCACACAACAACGTGTGTGTAACACTTTTAAACTATCACTGGGCCAATAAATATGCAATTTAAGATCTCACAGCAGACTGGGGAAACATTCGGTGCCTCTGCGCTCTCAGTGGCCAAAACCAACAGCATATCACAAACATCACGGGATGTTTTATTACCACAACCAAACCAACACGCAGTTCGCTTTCCCACGTTCCTCCATTAACCTCTGGAAATTAACCTCACAGCTGTTCGATTAGGAAAATACAGTCAGTCGCTGATCATATCAACAAACCGTTTCTGTTCAGAAGAGATTACGGCGTCCGGGTCACGCTAATGTGTCAGGGAGAGACTTTAAAGAGCCGTTACTGATGTCACCGGTGCGACTGTTAATAAACCTCACCTCTGCCGTTTGTCCCATGAACATCGTTGAGGTATAAATCTTTTCATATTCAGTTTTATTAGCCCCTATGAGATTTAGCTTCATAGATGTGTTTGTATATGTTTTTATTTTTTATTTTTTATGCTCACTGGGGTGTCGACGTCACTTTAAATTTCCATCAATTAACAAACAAACACTACAAATAACAAATAGTTATGACAAAAGTAAATAAAAATAAAATCAGGAAAAAAAAATAATCTAACAACTGTAATCAGATAAATTTGTCATACTGCAATGCATATTCTATTTTTTTTTTTCAGACAACATCTGAAGAGAATGTTATTGTTTTAAAGGGTTAGTTCACCCAAAAATGAAAATTAAGTCATTAATTACTCACCCCCATGCTGTTCCAACCCCGTAAGACCTTCGTTCATCTTCGGAACACAAATAAAGATATTTTTGATTGAATCTGAGAGCTGGATCAGTCCTACATAGACTGCCTAAGGGACTGGCTCTTGACGGCCCATAAAGTCATTAAAGAAAAGGTTTAAATATTCCATGTGCCTACAGCGGCTCAATTATAAGTTTATCAAGCGACGAGAATACTTTTTGTGCGAAAAAACATAAATAACGGCTTTATTCCACTATTCCATTACTTCCTTATGGGCGCATGCGCGAGAACTGAGACGAGGACGTTCTCATTCGTCTACTTCTTGTTACCGGCTGCTCGCCGCTTAGGAGTTTTACCGCCACCTACCGTATAAAATGATGATCCATATATAAGGCGCTCCGGATTATAAGGATCACTGTCGTTTTTTGAGAAGATTAAAGGCTTTTAAGTGCACCTTATAGTGCGGAAAATACGCAAATTGAAAAGCGTATGTACAGCGCGCGTCTTCCTCTGCTTGTAAACAGAAAGTTTTGCGCTTCCAGCTATATCAGCACATCATCTTATACGGTAGGGGGCGGTAAAACTCCTAAGCGGTGAGCAGCCGGTAACAAGAAGTAGACGAATGAGAACGTCCTCGTCTCAGTTCTCGCGCATGCGCTCATTAAGAAGTATGGAATAGTGGAATAAAGTCGTTATTTATGTTTTTTTCGCACAAAAAGTAGTCTCGTCGCTTGATAAACTTATAATTGAGCCGCTGTAGGCACATGGAATATTTAAACCTTTTCTTTAATGACTTTATGGGCCGTCAAGAGCCAGTCCCTTAGGCAGTCTATGTAGGACTGATCCAGCTCTCAGATTCAATCAAAAATATCTTTATTTGTGTTCCGAAGATGAACGAAGGTCTTACGGGGTTGGAACAGCATGGGGGTGAGTAATTAATGACTTAATTTTCATTTTTGGGTGAACTAACCCTTTAACATGTTTTTAGATCTACAGTATTACTGTATGTAGATTCAAAGTAATTCACATTTTTTTATGACTCATAAGCCCGTAAAATGAAATCTTTACCTGCAATATTCTCTGGACCTCAGAGTAACCAAAATCTGTGCTCTGGCAAAGTAAAAAAAGTAATGGAAATAATTACTCAAGTTGTAGTAAAAGTAACAATGTTAAAAATGAGTAAGAGTAGAAAAGTCTCCGATGAAAAGACTAGTAGTGAGTACTAGTTACTAAGATGATGATGTCAGTGAAATATTACAATAGAATTAAAATAATTATTTTATTTGTGAATTGGGCATCGATCATGCCTCAGTTAAAAGAGATGTTTCCCAGTGTAACTAAGTAAAAAGATTATTATTTTTTGTCATTAGAAATGCGCTTGAGTAAGAGTGAAAGTACACACATCTTTAAATCTGCATATTCTCTAAAATATACTTAATGTCAAGTAAATGTCATGGGAGTAAATTTAGCGTGTTGCTACCCACCTCTGATGGACCTGGATTATTATTTTCTGAAAGTTTATCTGAGCTGAGAATATTACATTATTATTAGTAGATTTACGAAAGTGTTTTGAAATTAAACATATTTTCAAAATTTTTCCTCTTCTTTTAATAATTTAAAACTCTTAAAAATGCATCTTACCTAAAGTTTTATATTATGGAATCTACTTTTTATTATTTGCTTTGGTGTTTTTTTTTGTTTTTTTGTTTTTGGCCTGTTTTGTTTTTGTTTCTCATTGTAGCCTGGGTTTTTTTTTTTTTTTTTCAAATTGTAGCCTGGCCTGTTTGTTTGTTTGTTTGTTTGTTTTCCATTGTAGCCTGTTTTTTTGTTTTGTTTTGTTTCTCATTGTAGCCTCGGTTGTTTTGTTTTGTTTTGTTGTTTTCTCTCATTGTAGCCTGTTTTGTTTTGTTTTGTTTTTCATTGTAGCCTGGGTTGTTTTGTTTTGTTTTTCATTGTAGCCTGGGTTGTTTTGTTTTGTTTTGTTTTTCATTGTAGCCTGCCTTGTTTTTTTTGTTTTGTTTTGTTTTGTTTTTCTCATAGCCTGTTTTGTTTTGTTTTTCATTGTAGCCTGCCTTGTTTTTTTGTTTTGTTTTGTTTTTCTCATAGCCTGTTTTGTTTTGTTTTTCATTGTAGCCTGCCTTGTTTTTTTTGTTTTGTTTTGTTTTGTTTTTCTCATAGCCTGTTTTGTTTTGTTTTGTTTTTCATTGTAGCCTGCCTTGTTTTTTTTTGTTTTGTTTTGTTTTGTTTTTCTCATAGCCTGTTTTGTTTTGTTTTGTTTTTCATTGTAGCCTGGGTTGTTTTGTTTTGTTCTCATTGTAGCCTGGGCTGATTTGTTTTGTTTTTGTGTCTTGTTCTGTGGCCTCTGTTTTGATTTTTTCTTTTTATTTATTTATTTATTTATTTATCACATTGTTGGCTGAAATGTTTTGTTTTGTCCACAATACTTTTGTTTCTTATGCACCAAAAACTTGTAAACTGTCATCTTGCATCACTCAGTAAAAAGTGGGGCAACCGATGAATTAAGAGGAAGGTTTAATTTCATTAAGACAGTTGGAAGAAGCTCGTTCATGTCGGCCCATGGTCAGAGGAGAGCTCAACATCAGACACTGAGACAGCGGGCGTCTGTCATCTCCTCCCCCAGGGTCTTGTAGAGATAATTGAAAACTGAAATTGAGAGTGAAAGTGAAGGCCAAGTATGTAACACTCTGAAGTTGTCCAAGTTAGAGCACACACATGAGGAACTTTGCTGTGGCGCCCGGGGAGTGATTGGTGGGTTAGATGCCGTTCTCCTGCCAGTATTGAGAATCAAACCCATGACTTTCAGTTCACCAGTCCGACTCTCCAACCAATTAGGCCACGGCTGCCCCACAACCACTGACACAAGGCCTGAGAGAAATCATTGTGTCATGCCACAGTTTTCACATGTCATTTGAATATGTCTTTGCCTTGTCCTTGCTTTTCCTCTGGGACAGTCACAGGGACCTGAAGCCGGAGAACCTGTTGCTGGACGAGAAGAATAACATCAGGATAGCAGACTTCGGGATGGCGTCTCTGCAGGTGGGGGACAGTCTGCTGGAGACCAGCTGTGGGTGAGTGAACATGATGAGGACAAGCACTGTGTTCAGCTCAGGCCGCTGAGGACGTCAGTTACTCTCCTCCTAGCATGTCCTCCACAGTTGCTAAACCCTATAAAGCCACAATTCCAAGACCTCTAAATTAGTGTAATTTTAAAAGTACTGATTTTAATAAAGTAAGAAAAACGTATATATCATTATTAATATTTTAAGATGAACACTTACAGGACTTGTTTATCCATAAATGTTGTTTTTTAGGAAAATCCTACGCATTCTCATCCAAGGGCGTCATATAGGTGACGCTTTTGAAATTGCGTCTAAATCCGGCGCACATTGCATCCTTTAGCGTCAATATAACACGCTTCGGTTATGGGTAGGTTTAGGTCTGGGGTAGGGTTAGGGTTACACCACTAGGAGGCGCCTTCTGGCCCATATATATCTGCGTCTCATATTGATGCTAAAGAGTGCCGTATGCGTTGGATGTAGACGCAATTTCAAAAGCGTCACCTATATGATGCCTTGGGATGAGACCGAGCTGAAAAATCATGTTAAAGTGTGAGAGTCAAATATGATTCAGGCTTTAGATGAATGTTAATCTGTACATCTGTCAATCATTACTGTATAGCCTTGTTTTTTCCCATAATACAAGTCACAAAGCTTTGATCATAAAACCAAACATCTCACTATATATAGAGATATATACACAGATATAGAGTGACAACTGATATTTATATACTGTTTTACAGTTATAAAGATTTCATTGATCTACATTATATAAATAATGTGATCAGAAGTTAAACAGTCTTTTTGGCCATATAAATATCAGCAACTGCACCAAATTACATATTTTTCATCTTCAAAATCAATGGTGAAATGAAACACATTACATTAGTTTAATTAAAGACTGATAATTAAGCCCAGCGGAGACTTATAAATGGTTCAAGTTAATCTAGCACACACAATACAATAGTGTTTTGGCGGAAAATTAAATACTGTTGTTATTTTAAGATATGCTACTCAGGAAACGGTTTTGATTATTATCAATGTTGCTGCTTAAACTTTTTGAAGAATATTTTCAGGATTCTGTGATGACTTGAAAGCAGGGTTATCCTAGTGAACTAAAACTAAAACCATTAAAAATGTTTTATTTAAAGTAAAATAAACTGCAGTTAAATGTTTTTAAAAAATATTCTATGTTATTACATTTAGTTGCCAAGGCGCTTTAGTTTAACTTGATGTATTAAACTTGATGTATTAAACAGTCCCTCCAGGATTTCACGATTTTTTTTTTTGTGATTTTTGCGATCAAAATGACTGATTTTGTGGTGGTAATTTTCAAAAAATTGTGAAAAAATTTGCGATTTATATTTAACATTTACCATAATAGCATTCAGTCCTTCCAGAAAAACAGAGTTTTTTTTTTTGTGATTGTTGCGGGCAAAAATTGATTGATTATGCGGCCAGTTTTCTTTAAAAATGCGATGGAATATGTGGGATATTTATGCAATTTTATGCGATGAAATTGCTGGAATTTGCAAAAATTGAGGGAACTTGCAAAAATTGCGGTTTGATGAAAAAGAGAAAAAAAGTGATTCCCCCAACATCCTGTTAATATAAGAGTCATTTCTTATTACTTCCTTTGATAAACAAGCATACTACATCATAGAAAGTGCTGGGAATATTTAATTTCTCATCTTGTTTTATTTCAGACTGTAAGAGTGTAAATAAGGTGTGGCCCCTTTAAGAGCTGCGCGCTCCCTGTTGAACTGTCTGCAGTGTTATATGTGCTCCTCGAACACCCCATGTGTGCGGGTAATTTCTGTTTGATGCTACTTCTTTTATCTTATGTTGTTTATTAAGTAACGATGTGACAGTAGAACGTTCGACAGACAGTTATACGAGTTCGATTTGTGAGATGTCAATCGCCTCCGTGAGTCTGTCTGGCGTCGCGTAATTGCGTCACTTCATAACGTTCCCATGGAAACAGGGGGAAATGGCTGCTCTTATGCGAAGCAAACGCAACATTTTTCAACTTTCTGCTAAGATACATGTGACTTTTTTTGCAACGAAAATGCGAGGATTATGAAATTATGCAAACCCCGCATATTTTGCACAGAAATCGGCAATTTATGCGGCGAAAGTGCGGCGTATTTGAAAAAATGCGGCCCCCGCATAAATATGCGGACTTTGGCTGATTTTGCATTGAATTCAACTATCGCATAATCGCGTTTTTCTGGAGGGACTGATTAAAATAACTCTAAACTAAAACTGAATAAAAAATGATAATGACATAAAAAAAATGAATAAAAAGATAAAACACAAACAAAATTACAAAATTTTTAAATATAAAAAATTACTATGTTGAATTACTTCAATGATACTAAAATCATGTTGATAGAAACTTATTTGAAAAAAAAAATTAACCTTGTTAAACCTTTTGAACAATTGAATACAATTGCTAAATAAATGCACAATTCATCCATTTTCGAGTTGAGATTAAAAAATGTCAGTGTACCAATGTGGAATCAGCCAAATTGAACTGTCAGCTGAGTTTTATGACACGCCCCCTCTGACATCATAAGTGCGATTATCTGTCACGAAAACGCAGTGTTTTCTTTTCTTCCGTTGTTTGGTGGAGGCCTGGTGTGAAGAGATAGGCGCCCGACTCATTTACTGCCCTTTATTTCTTTCTTAATGTAATCATTTCCCCTTTCAGAAAGCGCCTTTGCCCCCCACATTTGCCATAAAACCTTTAGCCTTTTGTCAGTTGATTAATTTGGCCATGCTTGCCCGACCTTTAGGATTACACTCAGACATGGCCATAGATTAAACCCAGTGTAATAAAATCAACGCGTCGTTCCCGTACACGAGTCGCCTCGTGTTATATGAGCACAGCTCTGCAGAGGTCGAACGGGGCGTCCTGTACCTCTGTGTGCTGGCGTCCCGGACACCTCAGGTCAGGATCTGCAGGACAGGGAGTCACAGAAGCCTCCCAGCGCCCTGACTCAACATCGGCTATCAGAAGCAATCTGTTCGGGTCCCGTCATCATCCTAACAATCGTCTCCGATGCAGCTTTGTGTTGAGCCGGGCCGGATGTCCTTGACGTCTCCCGCGACCCCCAAACTATTTTAATCCCCGCCCTGAAGGGGTTTTATCTGTGATACTATCAGTGCATCATCCACATGCATTACATCTCAGTAGTACATGGATATACAATATTAATTAATTTAAGTCAAAAAATATGTATTTATTTTTTATTTGTAGATTTGAGAAAGCCAAGAAAAGTTGAACTTTTAAGCAAAATTGGAGCAACTTTATTGTTATTATTATTATTATTTTTTGTTTATTAGTCATTATGAAGGGAGAGGGCAGAGATCCTCCTCTCGGCTGCTGTAATGATGGAAATATGAAGGAAAAATAGATCCTGTTTACAGTTTATATGACGTGAATTAAAACGTTTAAATCATTAATTATTTTAAAAACGTGTTTATTTATGTACTGTTTGTCTTTATTTGTTTGTTCATTAATATTATTCATTCATTAATTGCAAATAATTGAATCTCTTTTGTAATTCCTTCTTGTCATTTATCTATACAAATATTTGTTCATTCCATTTCTCCGTTGATCAATTGATCATTCATGTATTCATTAAGTATTATTTTTTTTAAATCTATTAAATCAATCATTCTTTTAAATCATTTCTCCATATATTCATTCATTAGTTCATTTAAAACATCAATTATTCATTTAGTAATTATTTTAAATCCTCACACTCTCAAAAATGCTGAGTTGTTTTAACCCAATTTTGGGTAAAATATGGACAAACCCAGCCATTGGGTTAAAAATGTCATTTAAAAATGTAACCCAATGGTTGGGGTTGTCCATATTTTACCCCAAATTGGGTTAAAACAACCCAGAGTGCATTCTTTCATTAGTTTTAAACATATTTGTTCAATTGATTTATTATTCATTTGTTAATTATACATTTAAAAACATTGAATCTATTTATGTAATCATTCTTTCAAAAACTTTATTATAATTTATACATTTATTTATTAATGAATCTATAGTTCTACTCAAATGTTTCCCTTATTCGTGTAACATTTGATTCGTCTGACACTAATGAATGCCATTTTATCCAATCTGGCGTCAGATAAAGCGAACATTATTGCTTCTAATCTTCATGGACGCCTTCCGCTAGTGTTTACGTTGTTTATTTCTGTATCCCTATTACATGCACCATTTTGGCTTAAAGACCATTGTACATTACAGCAAAAAGACACATTTGAACCCATATGTCTGATGGTTTGCACACCCACATCTGATATGTGCTGTCATTGGTGGAGGAGTTGTGCAGGAGCGCGAGGGGAAATGAGCTCTGGCAAACAGCTTGGAGTGGATAAATGATCCGGCACACGTACTGCAGGGTTTCTCTATAAACTCATCCGTTAATGGCTCTATTTTTAGCTCTAATTTGCCTCCCTCATCAACATAAACAATGAAAGCGTTTTACGGCCTTAAAACATCCGATTGGTTTTGATCTGTGAGATGTGACGCTCCTGCTTTAGATGAGAACAGCTGAACGCTGTATGCCATCAGAATCATAACTATCGAGCCGGCCGGTCTTGGCTAATGTGTCGAGGGCAATGCGTGTGGAGTGAAACTGTTTTGATGTGTGCTGAACAGCTTCTGCAATGTTTTCTGAAAACATTAATGTTGTTTGGACCATAATGTAAAAAAAAAGAGATTGACGCCACATATTTGTAGAAAAATGAAGCTAAAATATCCCAGAAATAGTCGTTGGCGATTACGTGAGGTAGAGACACGGTCCCACACTCTCGATCCTGCAGACTCATTCGCAATCACAGCTGTCAATCATGACGATACACTCGGAAAAACACTGGGTTGAAACAACTCAATGGCTGGGTAAATATAGGACAGGACACATGTTGGGTTAATTTTATCCAGAGAATTAGGTTGTTTATTTAACCCAGAACAATGGGTTGATTCATTT